AGAACAGAGAAAACATCAAATGTTTAAAATGAGAAAATCTGATGGCAGCGACACATCTGTAACGTGGGACAGCTCCATGTGTCCTCTTCTTCAACATCAGCCTGTGATGGTCTGTGAGCTGAGGAGGGCAGCAGTCCTGCTGCTGATGCTCCAGATGTTTTCAGCTGACTCGTGCAGCTGGAACATTGACTTCAGTAGTAACAGAGCTACATTATGGAGCAGCTTGTGTCTGAGCAGGAGGAACCTTTAGAAAGGTCAGTATTACAGAAGCAGGTAGCCTGATGGATTAACTGGTAGGATTGTGGGAGTGTAGGAAAGAGCTTAGCTTTGTCTTTAGACACCAGTCCCAAATCTCTTATGGTCCACACTGGTCTCGTAGCCTGGGCGTCCTCATAAGGTCCTGCACCAAAAACATCCATTGCAATGAAGAGCTTTAAAGATCGTGTTCTTAGTGAGGTGAAAGGTCAACTGGACCCACGTCAGTTTGCACAGAAGATGCTCGTGTAGCTGTTGCAGAGAATTCGTGTCACGTGGACCCAACAAAGATATTTATGGACTGTTCATCTTTAATACTGGACCACATATCTTAATGCAAAGGTTATCACAGCTTAAGGGTGTAGAGTATGGCACCAACAGGTGGGCACACCTGTCCTGACCCCGCCTCACAGGCCACAAAGCACCAATCCCTGCCTCTGTCAGTGCGGCTCATTTAAACTGGAGTGATTTACCTGACACAAGTTGTTGGTCAGCTTTGCTGTTATGACACAACATTAAAATGACAAAGTAATAGCACGGGAGCGTTTCTGGCTTTGCACTGTAAAAGTCCAAAGTTCATATTTATGTGTAGGTGAGCTTCAGGATCTCAGGTGTTCCTCTGCACTGCTGCACCTGGAGTCTCACTGTGACATCATTAAAACCAGTCCTGAAAGACGTGTGAATATATAGCTAATATAAAGCTAAAGAAGTATCCAACCGAAGGTCTCGGCTGACGTGAAATATCGTTTCACACTGAAAGTGAAAATTCCTAACATGTGACAGTCGTTCCGGTGTTAAGGGTCCGGTTTGGTTTGTACGAGTAAAACGAGATAAACCAGGATATTTTCAGCATTATTACCTGGATGTTTGCATCCAGGTAATAATGAAACTTAAGAAGAACTGAAAGCCACTTACACCTCCACCCGCCCCACAGACATCGTGATATAAAGTGGAAGCAGGATGCTCAGGTCAGTGTTTCTGTGCACAGCAGATTATCAGCTCACACACTCAGGACAGCACGGTAAGACATTTATTCTTATTCATGCTGCCTCCAGCTGCATTAATATGGATGTGTATTCTGTTTTAGTTCAACTTCTCTGTGATCAGTTATCATATTTTTTCTCTTACAGGAGATTCATCAAGAAGATGGAAGCAAATGATGAATATCTCAAACAACTGATTCATGCATTATCACCTGATGTAGAGAGAGAGCTGAGGAACACCTGGACGAGCATCCTCAAAGGAACAGTTGTGACGGGAGGATGCACATTAGTATGCGCGGCTTTCTTTGGACCTGTGGGGTTTGCTGTTGGTGAGTGAATGAATGATCCAGATAAGAGGGAACTGTTCCTACAGTGGGTAATACTAAGAAAATAAAAACAAAATAAAGTCATTGTTTCCATGGTGATATTAAACTGTTCAGATAACATGGAGGAGAAACACATATGGGGACAAAACCATGAATAAGATCATTTTTCTTTGGTTTTCATGAAACTTGTTCACAGTAAATATAAATCTATTATTAAACAGATAAAAATCCTCAGCTGTGTTTTCTGATGTTTTTATTTGGGATAATTCAAACACTTGACCTTTTTGTGGAAACAGGACTGGATACCAAACCTGTTTCTGACTTTCCATTCACCCTCTCCTCTGTGTCTCCTAGGTGGAGCCATTGGTGGCCTCTGCAGCTGGCTGACCAGTAAAAAGTTCAAGTCTGTGCCTGACATCCTGAAGGAGATGACTCCTGCCCAGAGGACAGAGCTCTTCAACGCAATCAGGGCTGTTTTACCTAGGGTGACGTGGGAAACTGCAGCCCATCTCATTGCTGCAGTGATGGGAGATCATGATCTCAAGAGGAGAATTATCAATTTGTTAATCAGAATGTTCATGTGAGAACAGGCATCTTAACATTTATGACTCTGTGTGTGTTGGCCTTCGTGATGGACAAACACAGTCAGTGAATTTTAACCAGACGTATTTCTCAGTTAGAAACATAAATTAGAGATAATCCGTGCCGGAGTACAAAGTCAATGTATTTCCTCACTCTGATTCAAATAAAAGAAAAAATCTGCTGAATATTTTTGTGTCCTTACAAATGATTTCATTCTCCTGAATAAAGTACTCCACATACTGTGCAAATGTAAAATATGGAGAATTATACTTGAAGTTGGCAGCCGGTTTTCTCAGACCAACGGCTCCTAAAGGTCAGACATCAGTTTCCTCCGGCATGTTCGTCTTTAGCTCCCTGCTCGCCTTTTTGGGTTTGGAAGACAAAGAAATGTCAGAAGGTGCAGCTGAGGAACATCAACAGCACGTTTATGGAACAAAAACGAGTGTAAAATCCACACGCAGCACATGACCAGCTTACCCACATTCAACAAACTCAGATGTTAAAGTTGTTTGAATGAAGCTGAAAGGTCAGACCAGGTGTAACCAAAGGGTGCAGTTAAAAGCAAAGGTGATAAAGAGCTTCAGGTTTCCCGTGAAATCTTAAGAACTTCGAGGTGATACACGAGATCTGAGCTGAATGTTTGGGCTGAAGTGTGTGAACAAGATGAAGCTGAAAAGCTTGTGTTTCAGTGTGTTTCAGTGAGACACTGAGAGTGTGAGATGTAATCAGACCAGTCCAGCAGAAATCCTGCAAACACTTCAGTGTGAAACCAGAGAGAAGACAGGATGTCCATTCTGAGGTCTGCAATCTCTCTGTACCATTACACTGCGCACTGACTGAGAATACAAGTATCTGAACTTGTTCTTCAGGTTTTTACATTAAATGGAACATTTAAAGGTAATCCATTCTGCTCATTTAAGCTCCGATTCACAGTCTGTATCTGATCCTGGGCCTCAGTGCAACCACTCAGCTCATTGCATCTGAAAGAAGCGCTTTTAGCTCCTCCCCCTACCTTCCTGTCGTGTTTGGGTCAAATCTGACCAATTTACAAATGATAAAACTCATAAATATTGTGTTTTACATCCGATTGCCTCGAGGTCTTATGACATCCTCCACAGTATGCACTATATGAAAGTGATAAGCACCTCTTTAGTTGAATTTTGAACGTTTTAATCAACTTTGTTACATCTGTAATGTTCCACCATAGAAAATGAATGGGAATCCAACCTCCACCCCATTTGGGCTCCAACCCCCTGAATGGCCCACTGAACTGAATTTGGTGGTGAAAAACGTTTCTTATGTTAATTTAAGAGCTGTTAAGACTAACTGGTCAATTGTGACCAGAACACTAAAGTAGGGTGGATGTTGGGTCTAAACTTAGACCCCACTGACCCTGGGACTTATTCCCGTGAAGGACATGCATGTGAGAATGTGTGTGTGCACCATTGACTGTAGAAAACATG